CTTTACAATCATAATTTATACCTTAAAAACACATTGAAGGGAAATTTTATTTAGAGCAGAAGCCCATAACGCAGTATGAGAATTTTAATTTATAAGTATATTATTTCTAAAAATTAAAATAAATCAAACAAAATGTTAAAAAAAAATGCAAGTGTGCAATGTATTTCTTAAAATAAAATGTTCTGTGTGTCTACCTGCTGGGCTTTTTTGTTCGCCTGGTATCTCAGCTGAATTTGGATTTGAAAAATGTGATCATCATATAAGGTAACTACGGCTTGTGCTGTGCTTTGATCACCAATCAATCAATCAGTCAGTCAGTCAGTCAGTCTATCAGGAGGAACAGTTTTATAAGTAGAAATATACGCATACGATATAATTTAATGAGCGGAGGCACGCCATTAAGAACATGGGACTGAAGTGCAACAGACTTGCGCGGATAAATATACGAAATGCCAACTGTCAAATTTACGCACACACATGTGTATGTATATATATATATATATATATATATATATATATATATATATATACATATATATATATAAATGTGTTATTTCATTAGCACGGGCACGTGCTGAGTGCGTCCTGTGTGTCCTTTAGCTGCTAACAATGGCTGTCAGCACTAGGAAGCTGCATGACATTTAAATTAGTTTCGTGATTTTGCAATTTATTTTGATTTACATTCGCGCAGCTGGAAATATTTTCATATATATACATTTTATATTCACTGCTGTAATTGTTGGCAATGTCAAAAAAAAAAAAAAACCAGCCCAGACATGAAAACAGCACCAGATGATGGGCTACTAGAAACCCTGCACAGTGGCAAAGCAGCATCCACAATTTAAATCTACTCTTTGCCAAACTCTTAACAGCTTTCAAGTGTAGCGTATGAGGCATACAATACGCGTCACTCGAATAGTGCCGTCTTAAAAACTATATATACATTCGTGAAATTTGCGTGAACATAACATTTTACTATTAACTGTTCCAAGCAGTTTAGAACTGCGGCAAGAATTATTCTATTAATGAGAAACTTATGTATTACGTATTATATATACTGAGCGAAGAGCTGCGTGGCTATATTTAAATGCCTTTCAAATTTATTCATAAGCAAAATGATATTTAAAGAATTAGTTTAGCTTAGCTGTCTATCATGAGAATCGCATGGAAAGGCACTGTTTAAGAATATAAAAGGGAAGATCAAGAGAGAATTAGAGCGAGAGAAAAACAAAATAGGGAAAGAGAGCAAAGGGAGAAAGAAAACAAGAGAGCTTGCATATAAAATGATATATCTGTAAATAAGGCAGCACACATGCAAAACCTATGTCCTTTCACTTGGTGCTATTCAAACTACTCGCACTGTACACAGCATGTTAAATGCATTGTCATCGTGTGATAATTAATTACAGCTTTACGCCTTAATCAGCGCAAAATGCCCGACTGTTGCCAACTATGGAGTTGTTAACTATATTTGAGCGCAAACTACATAAATCTATCTATGTATGTGTAGGCAAATATTGCGTATACGCAATGTGGCCGCAGGCCATAAAAGCCAAAAAATTTCCGGCCAAATGCTCGCATATAATATAATATCAATCAGAAGCAAAATATGAGGCATAGCACGTGCGGCTAAGCAAACGGAAATTTGACTCAAATGAAAATGAATGAATTTATCTGCAAATGAAGAGACCAAACGCACTATATGTGTGTGTGTGTGTGTGTGCAAATGTGTGCGTGCAAGTGTGTTGTTGTTATGTCAGATTATATGGCTTAGCTCACAAAGCGTCACATACGAAATTGCGGTGCGTGATTTTGATTTATAAATAATATAATAGGAGTACTCTGTACATTTTTATGTGCCGCTCGTTTTGCAAGGGTTACAAACGGAATACGTAAAAATATTTGTGAGCTGCCATTGCTGCAAATTGTTGATATGCGCTTAAAGAGTAGCTTAAGTCCATGGGCTATTAAATGGGATTTGTTCTGTCAAGCAGAGCCAAGGCAATTGCATATTACTATTTACTCTAATAGGCAAGCATTTATATTCTTACTGAGCTCAAACTCAGCTTGTAGTGCATTATGCAGTTCGGCTTGATGCTTGGGCTGCTGCGTTTTATATTTAGCATTTTTATGCCAAACTGTCCCACAGTTTGTCGGGCACTCGCAACTCGTGTTGGCATCTATAAAAACCTTTACTGTCTGCCTGCGTCACAAACAATAAGGCGGATTTTGCGCTGCTGGGTCCTAACTCATTTTAGTGGCAGCTAAAAATTTTTGTTTGCCCATAAAAATATATAAAAAAGGGTCAAGTGGGTAGGCAAATAAATATGCCTGTACTACAGTACATGTGCGTAGGCTGAGCAATATAAATGTTTATACACACACACATATAATACAGATACACAAAGTGTGTGTGCTAAAAACTACGCGAGCCGCCTCTTTGTCATTTGATATCTGCCCTTGAGCAAGTGTGCAAATATATATTTATAAAAATAAATCTAGAAATATATAAACTATAATTTCAGGACCAATTTGACGCTCAAAGCAGATTGTTAAAAATACTTTTAAATGTGTACTTGTTTTTATATATTAGAAATATTCGCTTTTTATCTTTCTATAAATATATTCCTTGAAATAAACAAAAATGTAATATTATTAATTTTAATTTAAAAAGTAAACTTTAAATGTAGCTAATAATAACTAATAATATATTATTAAAAGTCAACAATTGTAAATTTAAAAAAAAAATTGTGAATTAAATAAGATTCCCTCAATGAATTTATTGTATTATTTTTGTCATCATTTAAGGCAAATGTTTAAAATCCGCGCAATGCGAACAAATTTAATAAGTGCATATATACCTGCAACTCACCTTGCTGAAGTAAATAATAATCTATTAGTTTGGCAATTTTAATTAACTAACAGGCGATAGCATAATTCCTTTCATTTAATAATTTTCCTCAAAATTTAAAAACTTAAATTAACACAAAATGTAAAACTGCGCAAAATTACAAACTGAAAATAAGCTCATGTAAAATGTAAGCTGGCCATTTTTAAAAAACCAAAACTGCCTAATTGATAAATATTTGAATAGATGATATTTGGCAATCTAAACGTATTCATTTATTTTTGCACTAATTTAAATTAAATTACAGCACTAATCGTGGCTGATATGTATATTTATATATATATACATATATATATATGTATATTTGATAAAATATTTTTGATAGACAATTCGAGCTATTAATAACTATCCCATACATTTTGCCTCCTTTTGTTGCAATTCAATTTCGTAAATTTTGCGGCTACTTTTCATTAATTTACAAAACGCACTAAAACAAAAACTCCCAATTATGTAATGTGTGATTGATGTGCGCTAATTAGGTTGATATATATTTCCAGCTTTTATGCCCAATGCGCTGTGTTATGATCCGTAAAATTGTCTGATAAAACCGTTTGTATTTTTAATGCCCCGTAAAAGGCCTTTGTTAAGGTAGAGCTCATGCAACATATTATTATATGCATAAAAATGGTATTCAAAACATTTGATTATGTTTTAACTTTCAACTTTATGATGCTTGTCAGCTATTAAAAGCCAGCTTAAAGTTCAAAGCAGAACCCAAACAACAGCAGCAGCAACAGCCGCAACAACAACAAGAACAATTAGTCAAAAATAAAGAACAGAGCCTTAAATTAGGCCCTGGTTTTGGGGTCTGTTGAAGGTCGGAGATTCTGCTGCGGTTGCGTTGCCATTTAAATGCCAATTTAAACATTTTCGAATTATTTGGTAAAAGTTTTTCGATTAACCTGCTCAGCCGTGGCAGCAAACAAGGACAACAACTATTATGGCAAACAGACGATTGCCATGAAGATGACTGCTGAGAGGCAGCACAATGCCATTGCCACACACACACACACACACACACACACACACACGCACACACACACACTCAACACGCACCCGAACTCACACATAAATACTTTCTCTCACAGACCCACTTACTCATACAGCTGGGCTTATTGAGTATACTTGGTCGCTCTTGAGGTCCGCATTTTACGAGTGAACTTTTAATGATTTACGAGAATATTGCCACACACATTCCTTGCCCCCAATTCCTTGCTGCGCGACTTTTTATTGCCACAACTTGTTAAGGGGTTGTCAGCCCTAAAGAGTACATTTCATTGCCAGATAGCTAAAAAGTAGTACAGTTAATGAAAACTTAAGAGAAACCGTCGGAATTAAGTGTTGGACAGTGTAACAAATGCTTTTGAGCAAGTTTATAAACACTTGATTAAACATACTTTCTTTCAGTTAAACGAGTTTTGCAACACTACACGAACACTATAGGAATAGTGCATCAACGTTCTGATCTTCCGCTCTTAAGGCAAACTATGAAATTAAGAAAAACGCGCAGTTGTTTCACTAAACTTATTTGAGTTTTCCAACACTGTCAGCATCAGTTGCTTAGCACTAAAATAAAGATGAGCCTTAAGAGCACATTAATAAACATAAATAAATATAAATAAATATTAATAAATATATTTATATAAAATCTAAAAGCTCAATTAATTTACATTGTTTTGGCTTTAAGCAAGTCTCATTTTCATCCTTCCACTTTTTTAACGTTTTCAGCTGCTGTTACTAGACCATAAACCAAGCACAACAACAAATTTTGTGTTGTCAATGAAGCAAGGCCATCAACACACAACAATGGCAGAGGTGGTTAGAGATAGGGGACGAGTTGCTGTTATTGGAAGTTGTGGGGGAAGAATCTCTATGACTTTTATTGCCAGCATTCAAGCTCAAAAATGGGATTTGCAGCAATAAAACATGAGTTAAGTCGCCGTTTGGGGCGTGGCAGGCGCAAAAAGACTAGAGCCTGTCGTTTTGTAGCTAGGTTGGCCGGGGTTGGGGATGGGCCATTCACAGGAATTCGGCTGTTTGTCATTGAGTTTTTGGTATAGGTTTCAGTTGGACGGTGTTGATTGAAATTTACGATTTGGGCTGGCTTCTTCAGGACTCGCACGTGCTGTTGTTGTTGTTGTTGTTTATGCTGCTGATCGCCTTGTCGCCTGTCGTCGCCCATAAGCGGAAACAGCGCCCCGCCATTGCTGGGCGCCATTTCGCTTTGTCGCGCGCATCAGTTTTATGGCAAACGGAAGTCGTCGCGTTATTTATGGCATACTGTGAGTATGAGTATGAGTGTGTGTGTGTATATTTGTGTATTGGTGTCAGCTCAATTATATTTCAATGCGTTGAATTCAGCTTTTGGCTTTGCGTTTGTTTAATAGCTTATTACGGTGCAAACGCCTGTGAAAGCCAATTAAATGTGACATCTGCCTTTGACCAGTGCTCGGCGTGATTTTGATAAATGTTACATCCACATCCACATATATTATATATAAATCTATCTACTTATTTGCGTTATATGGGCGGCATAATCAATTGCTGTTGCGAGATCTGGAACTCTAATTTATGATACTCAGCTTTTGGTTTCAGCTATGCTTATCGGATTGCTAGCCTGGCCCGTCTGGCAAAGCCTCACAATTCCTGCTGATTCCTGCTGGCGCATTCAATGCCAATGATAATTGACTTTTACAAACGACTCGGTCTGCCCACAATTAGTCGGGCATAATGATGCGTCATTATGGCTGTAATTCATCAAGCGAGTGCTGCCGCAGTTTTGCTTTGCTTTGTTTGTTCAGCTTTAATGGGCATAAATCATCGGGCGGCCCACTGTGCGTATGCGCAATATGATAAATATTTAAGGCGCTAACTTAGCATGTACTATAATCAGCTAAGACGACAGTTTTGCATGCTCTGCTCGTGGCTGACAAATGCAAATTTAAATGCGACATGCAAATGACAAGTGCGAGCGAGATAGCGCGTGGCGAACAGAGGCTGTGGGGAAATACTCGTTTATTTATTTGAAAGCATTTCTCACATTACCTACAAAAAGATGTGTCCAAAAACATAATTATACCCTGTAGCTGTTAAGGGTTGAGTGGAGTGTTTTGAGTATTGTTAATAAGTGATGCCTTTTATAAGTAGAAATCAAAAGAAATTAGATAAATCCTTTTTAAAATAATTTAAACAAGCTAATAAAAATAATATTAGTTTTACCAAACGTAATAAATCCAGTCAAAAGCTAAGCTATCCATACCAAACCCAGCTCGACTAAACCGAAACTATTTTAGCTTAACCCTAGCTAACCTAACTTTATCCAAGCTAACCTAATTTTTTCTAACCTAACTTCACTTTGGCTAACTTAACTTTTGAAAACTTCTTATATTACTTTATACTGTCTAAAGAATGTTCCTCCTTGCTGAGTATCTGCCGCGTTGCGTCGCTCTCAATCGTAGCTTTGTAACTTGTATAATCTCATTTCTGGTATTTTTTTTTTTTGGCGCCGACTTCTGGCGCACTCATTTTATCTACGTGGAAGTTGGTAAAATAGAAAAAAATAGAAAGAAGCAGAATAATAGATAGAGGAAGAGGAAAAAGAAAATATAGAAGACACGCTAATAAGTCTGCAACGTGACACTCGGTCGCAAAACTTGGACGGACAGCCGCGGGCCGCAAATGAGATGACTCTATCGGGCGCGGGCATCAGGCTAGAGAAATGGCTGACATTTTCCAGCCTCCGCCCCGCCAACGCCCCGAGCAAGCCCCGAGCACGCCTTCTCGCCGCTTTAGATTTGTTGCTATTGCCGCTGCTCTAGTTGCTGTTGCTGTGATGGCAAAATGTAAATAGCAGACGTGACGCCGTGAACTCCGAGCTAAATGTGACAATAAATGCCGGCGGTTATGTATAAATTGCTAAAGTGTGCGGAAAGATTTACGGTCGTCCAATGCTCAAACTGAAACGGACCCAGCGGGCAGAGCGGGGCCACGTTTATCATGGCCCAGCCGGTGCGGGAGGTTTGGAGTAATAACAAACAACAAATAGGCAAAAGGCACTTGGCACAGTCAGCAGACAGCAGACAGCAGACAGCCGACAGCAACAACTGCTGCGGCGTCAGGTGGTGCTTTTAGTATGATTGCCAGGGCAACCAGCAACAAACACCAACAACAACAAACACCGCGCAACACTCACAATGACAGTTTGGCCAACACCAAAAAACACTCACAGCCAAGTCAAAGTGGGCAATGTCTGAGGCACCGGCGAAAGCTCTAGCTGCTGCTGCTGTTGCGGCTGCTGCGGTTGAGTGACATGACAAGTGCAGTTCTTATACCCTGTAACTATTAATGAGTTGCTGAGGTATAACAAAAATAGTTGAGGTATTTGTGAACTAAGATGCTGATACGCTTTGAAGCTAAATACAGGGTATATTAGAGAAAGAGTGGAAAATATATGTTTGTTGTAAGGTGCAGTTCTTATACCCTGTTACTATTAATGAGTTGCTTGGTGTATGACAGCCATAGTTGAGATATTTGTGCTGAAACATTTTACAGATAAGACTGGAAACACTTTAAGGCTGAATACAGTGTATCCTTAGAGTTTTCCCTACGTATGTTATTAAAACACTTTTAAAGTGAGCTTATTTAGCTTATATTTATACATATTTATAGAAAATAGGGTATTCTCTAGACGACAACTCACACGCTGAGTGCTGTTGAAATATTTGTAGCTATTGTTAATATTATTAAGTTTTGCTGTTGAAGTAGCTTTTGTAGCTATTATTGATAGTAATAAAATATGGGGTATTTCATAGTCGACTACTCTCACGCTCAGCTGTTGTTAGTTCGCTGTGGCGCCCGGACTCAATCATTTGCATGGGGCCAGTCGATTAGCCAGCTAATTTGAATTCAATTAGGCACGTTATTAAAAAAATCAAAGTTCACGATTCAGGCCAGGTCCAGGTCCAGGTCCAGGCGCAGGCTCAGGCTTGGGCTCAGGCAGTCTGGAAGCAGCTGCTGACACGCTTGCACAATTTTTCACAGCATGTCAGTCAATTTTCTCCTGCTTCTTCTTTTGCTTTCTTTTTTTTTTTCTTGTGTGCACATTTTCGCCTTAATGAGCTTTTCCGTTGACTTCGACGAACACTTATGCCATTTGTCGCCATATTTATTTTAATGGTTGCTCAATTTAATCACATTGGCAGCAGGAGCAGTAGCAGCTATAATGCCGCCATTAACTTTTACTTGTAATACCCTAACTAAGAGTTCTATAAATTGGACACTTAGCTGGCGAAACAGGCATGACACTCGAAATATACTAATTGTATTACTAAATTATTATTTATGATTAGAAAACAACTTAATAATAACAATTTTATATCTTTATCTTTTAAAAATTAGCTCAAATTTTTGTTATCTATCTATTTGGACTAGAGAAATATATTTTCAATTAAATAAGGGTTGAGTCCAAAGAGAGAGTCTAGGTCTTTCGTCTTGCCTTGAAATTAGATTTTCTCTCTGCTTTATTTTTTAAGTGTGGTTGAAAAATGTTCAAGATTTCGTTTACGCGACATTTAATTAAGCGCACAACTTTACAAGTTTTAATGGAACGCACACCAGCTACACACACACACACACTCACACGCACGCATATATATATACATATACAATATTTATAGGTTGCATATGTGTGTGTGTATATAAATTCATTTGCAGCACTTTGACACGCCAGTTTATTAAATTGACTGCCTGTAAAATACTTGGCGTGCAGCGAAAATTTTTTGATAATTTATTAAATCAAGCGGTTGCTGCTCGTGCTGCAGGCAGCCATCTTTATCAACTGGATGCTGGGTCTGAGCCTGGTCTGGTCTGTTCTGGTGTGGTTTACATTTTTCGCTTGCCCGAGTGAAATGAGCTGCATCCGGTCCCGGGAGTGGGACTGGGCTTGGACTAGGTTCGGGCTCAGGCAGAGTGCAACTGCAAGCGTTGCATTCTTAACGCCCGAGCACTTTTTGGCCCAAACCAGGCAACAACGGACTTTGGACTACGTTACGTACGGACAACCGCTGCATCCGGGCGTGCATGTATGCCACGTAACGTATACTTTATTCCTGTTCCTGTGCGCTAGCGCATTTCCTCACACTAACACACTAACACACACACACGCACGCACATACACAGCCGTAACGAATTTTGATGCATTTCCTGGGCGAACGCTCGAGCGCGCACGCGAGAAATTTATGTGCAATCTTAGAAAAATAATGATTATCTTTTATTTTATGGTTGAGCTGCTGCTCCAGCTGCTGCCAGTGGGAAGCCATTGTGTCATATTATTGTTAGTGTCAAGCGAGTCGTAAAAGCGCATAAGCTTCCCGAATATTTAAAGTCATTTTACGACTGCGCCGCTCAGACATGTGAGCATGGCAATTATGTGGCAAATCGGCACGCCCACAAACTGATTGGCAGGCCACGCCCCAAAGCATAAAGCAATTTGATTGTGTGTGTATGTGTGTGTGTATGGAATGTGTGTAGCATGCAAGTGAGTGTAAGTGAGTGGGCACTTGTGTCTCATTCATTGATTCAGCCACTTGATCAACCGACTCTCATTTGGTATAATTTTTTCAAACCGATTTTATAAAGTCTTTTAGGATTGTTTAATTATGCGGCATGTTGTTCAGATGATAGCTGTCTCTTGGCCCAGAATAGGCACAGCAGATGGCAGACAACTGGGTTGCAGCTGAAAAGTAGGCAACAGAATTCTGGGAATTTTTGTTCAAACTTGTCAGAGCTTAAAGCTGCTGTAAATGAAGTGCCAGTCACTTAAGCCGATTGCAAGGTATTAGAAAATGTAAATGAAAACATTCGTTTTTGATATTTTCTAATTGGACTGAAAACATGCTTACTTATATTTCGAGTGAAAGATAATACGCTCATGCGCTAAGTCTTAAAAGCTTTGACAGCTTATTTACTTTTGTTTTTCCGTTCTGTCAATTTGCAGAAATACGAAATGCAAAAAATTGTTTTCTTTGTGTAATTAAAGTAAAAGATCTGAAGTGTTGAAGATTGAAAGTTTTATCGAAACATCCTTTGATAAAAATGTTGGTATCATTTACACATGCATATTATTAAGAAAATATGTGGTCAAAATAACGGAATAATGAAAAGCAAACATGTAATCACAATTTAAAAGTAAACATCGGGAATGTCAACATGAAGTATGTT